CCTTAACCATAAACCCCCTAGAAATAGCATTTGACCTTGTGGGGACTAACAAAATGTCCCAGTTGGTCAAATTTAAATAGTTAAACACGTCCACACACACACACACACACACAGGAGTAAGGGTCGCTATTATGTAACCTTTGACACTTGTTTGAGACATCCTTCAAAAGCTAAAGCAAAACTATGTCCTAACAGTTCTACATTTCCTCACCTCATGTTTCCTTTGTGGTCGCTGAACTGAAAATAAATAGTGTGTATAAGAGGAGATGAGGAAAGAGGAGAAGTTTGTAATTTTTTTTTTTTTACCTTTATTTAACTAGGCAAGTCAGTTAAAAACACATTCTTATTTACAATGAAGGCCTACCAAAAGGCGAAAGGACAAAACACACATCACGACAAGAGAGACACCACAACAGTACATAAAGAGAGACCTAAGACAATAACATAGCATGGCAGCAACCCAACATGAAAACAACATGGCAGCAACACAACATGGCAGCAGCACAACATGATAGCAGTACAAGACATGGTACAAACATTATTGGGCACAAACAACAGCACAAAGGCAAGAAGGTAGAGACAACAATACATCACGCGAAGCAGACACAACTGTCAGTAAGAGTGTCCATGATTGAGTCTTTGAATGAAGAGATGGAGATAAAACTGTCCAGTTTGAGTGTTTTTTGCAGCTCGTTCCAGTCGCTAGCTGCCGCAAACTGAAAAGAGGAGCGACCCAGGGATGTGTGTGTTTTGGGGACCTTTAACAGAATGTGACTGGCAGAACGGTTGGTGGTACCAAAATTGGGGAGGATTGGCTCGTGGTAATCAGTGGAATGGTATCAAATACACCAGGTGTTCGATGCCATTCCATTCACTCCGTTCCAGCCATTATTATGAGCCGTCCTCCCTTCAGCAGCCTCCACTGGTGTGTGTGTGTGTGTGTGTGTGTGTGTGTGTGTGTGTGTGTGTGTGTGTGTGTGTGTGTGTGTGTGTGTGTGTGTGTCTGTGTCATGTCAAGTATGGTAATAACAACATGGTGTAAGGTTAAGCACCTTGTAACTTGACTAGTCTTGTTCTACTCACAGCAAAGGAGAGTGAGAGTTTTGGCCCATAGATAGAATAGAAGCCTACTGCCGTCCTATACTGTTCACTTCCATCCCTCTGTCCCATCCTCCAACACCACAATCGACCAGAAAGACACCTCTCTCCATCTCTCTCTGAGACTCCAGGCGAAACACTCTCACACACACAACACAGTCCGCCTCATCATTAGCTACACACTCTTGTGCATCTTACCCTCTCCACCGTCCAAAATGCAGGGGATTCTGGCAGCTTCTTTCAAAAAAGACCCGCTACCCCTCTTCTGCTTGTTCTGTGAAACTACCCTTCTGGACTAATTCAGTGAAACCTGCCTGTTACACTGTAACACTTCCCCTCTCTGTCTCTGTTTTGGGTTGCGTCTCGAGTTGTGGTCTATGTATGATATGCGGTACACATGTCAGTGGGGACCAATAAAAGGGTGTTCCTCCTTTGTCAGTTTCCGGCCACTGGAAGTGTGAGTGACACTGAATTTTGCTGTGAGTGTGTGTGTCTCTGTGTGTGTTTGTCAATTATAACGACCGTATGTCAGTCTCATTGGCTGTGTAGCAGTCTGGGGAGGGGAGGGCGAGGGAGGGTCATGGGATACATACAGTAGGCCAGGGTTCATCAACTAGATTCAGTTTGTTTTATTATCTCTCTGTCATACTGTGTTAAACCGTGTTGGATCTTGCCTAGCCATCTTGTTTCAAGAGGCTCAATAACAAACGTTTCTCAATACTTTGTTATATACCCTTTGTTGGCAATGACACAGGTCAAACGTTTTCTGTAAGTCTTCACAAGGTTTTCACACACTGTTGCTGCTATTTTGGCCCATTCCTCCATGCAGATCTCCTCTAGAGCAGTGATGTTTTGGGGCTGTCGCTGGGCAACACAGACTTTCAACTCCCTCCAAAGATTTTCTATGGGGTTGAGATCAGGAGACTGGCTAGGCAACTCCAGGACCTTGAAATGCTTCTTACGAAGCCACTCCTTCGTTGCCCGGGCGGTGTGTTTGGGATCATTGTCATGCTGAAAGACCCAGCCACGTTTCATCTTCAATGCCCTTGCTGATGGAAGGAGGTTTTCACTCAAAATCTCACGATACATGGCCCCATTCATTCTTTCCTTTACACAGATCAGTCGTCCTGGTCCCTTTGCAGAAAAACAGCCCCAAAGCATGATGTTTCCACCCCCATGCTTCACAGTAGGTATGGTGTTCTTTGGATGCAACTCAGCATTCTTTGTCTTCCAAACACGACGAGTTGAGTTTTTACCAAAAAGTTATATTTTGGTTTCATCTGACATTCTCCCAATCCTCTTCTGGATCATCCAAATGCACTCTAGCAAACTTCAGACGGGCCTGGACATGTACTGGCTTAAGCAGGGGGACACGTCTTGCACTGCAGGATTTGAGTCCCTGGCGGCGTAGTGTGTTACTGATGGTAGGCTTTGTTACTTTGGTCCCAGCTCTCTGCAGGTCATTCACTAGGTCCCCCTGTGTGGTTCTGGGATTTTTGCTCACCATTCTTGTGATCATTTTGACCCCACGGGGTGAGATCTTGCGTGGAGCCCCAGATCGAGGGAGATTATCAGTGGTCTTGTATGTCTTTCATTTCCTAATAATTGCTCCCACAGTTGATTTCTTCAAACCAAACTGCTTACCTATTGCAGATTCAGTCTTCCCAGCCTGGTGCAGGTCTACAATTTTGTTTCTGGTGTCCTTTGACAGCTCTTTGGTCTTGGCCATAGTGGAGTTTGGAGTGTGACTGTTTGAGGTTGTTGACAGGTGTCTTTTATACTGATAACAAGTTCAAACAGGTGCCATTAATACAGGTAACGAGTGGAGGACAGAGGAGCCTCTTAAAGAAGAAGTTACAGGTCTGTGAGAGCCAGAAATCTTGCTTGTTTGTAGATGACCAAATACTTATTTTCCACCATAATTTGCAAATAAATTCATTAAAAATCCTTCAATGTGATTTTCTGGAATTTTTTTTCTCATTTTGTCTGTCATAGCTGACGTGTACCTATGATGAAAATTACAGGCCTCTCTCATCTTTTTAAGTGGGAGAACTTGCACAATTGGTGGCTGACTAAATACTTTTTTTCCCCACTGTAAATCTCAGACTTCATTGTGTGTTATCCTCCATGATTTTACTCATGTGCATGAATGGCTTTTTCAAGTTTTATGTATGCTTGTTTTTTTTAATGGTTGAATTATTCAACTAAACTAAACTAAAAGCCGCGGGGAGATTATTTCTTGAGCAGATGGTCAGGGTGCCAGAACATAATTACAAATAATCTGTAAACTGCAAATTGACCGCAAGAAGCGCAAACTAAATATTTGACTAAAACATAGTCATGGGAATAATTTGGAACAGATTTCCCAAATTAAAATCACTTGGCTCTGATTTGTTTGTGTTTTTACAGTCTTTTATGTCCAACAATAAAAAAACTAAACAAAACTTTTTGGGGGTTCAGAAACTTGGCGGCCCAAATAAAATCACCCCGCAAGTTGGGGAACCCCCTGCAGTAGGCTATGTGTCAATTGACATGTGATGGACACACACACAGACACAGTCTTGTACAGCTAACCTTGTGGGGACACACAATTCAGTCCCATTCAAAATCCTATTTTCCCTAACCCCTAACCCTAAACCTAGCTCCCAACCCTAACCCTAAAACGAATTCTAACCTTAACCATAAACCCCCTAGAAATAGCATTTGACCTTGTGGGGACTAACAAAATGTCCCAGTTGGTCAAATTTAAATAGTTAAACACGTCCACACACACACACACACACAGGAGTAAGGGTCGCTATTATGTAACCTTTGACACTTGGTTTGAGACATCCTTCAAAAGCTAAAGCAAAACTATGTCCTAACAGTTCTACATTTCCTCACCTCATGTTTCCTTTGTGGTCGCTGAACTGAAAATAAATAGTGTGTATAAGAGGAGATGAGGAAAGAGGAGAAGTTTGTAAAAAAATTTTGTTTTACCTTTATTTAACTAGGCAAGTCAGTTAAAAACACATTCTTATTTACAATGAAGGCCTACCAAAAGGCGAAAGGACAAAACACACATCACGACAAGAGAGACACCACAACAGTACATAAAGAGAGACCTAAGACAATAACATAGCATGGCAGCAACACATGACAACACAACATGGTAGCAACACAACATGGCAGATGAGGAAAGAGGAGACTAGTTCTATGTAACACTTGAATTGTTTTTCGTTTCCACTCGCTGTCATTAGGCTACAAATTACGTTATACAGTAAGATGTCATTTTAGCTGTTGGCCAGTAGAGGGAGCTGAGAGACAGACAGAAATAGTAAACTAGATCAGCTCAACACTGAGCTCCTGACACATTGGTGCGGCTGGCTTCCGGGTTAAGCGAGCAGTGTTTTACGAAGCAACGCGGCTTGGCGGATTGTGTTTCGGTGGACATTCACCTCACCGAGTCCGTTGGGGAGTTGTAGCGATGAGACAAGATCGTAACTACCAATTAGATATCACGAAAATTGGGAGAAAAAATTCACACAAAAAAAGTAACAAATAAAACACACTGAGCTCCTACCATACTGTATATCCACATTCCACACAAGGCGTTGATGATTCGAGTGAACCGTGATGGTGACTCGATATGAATAATTGATTTGTTTATACTCAGCTTGCAAGGTGTCTTATAACACAACAAGCCATACTTTTCTTATGGTCATACTCTATATAGGTCATATAGCTCCCCTCCCATTTGGTACAATCCATGCGTCATTGTTTACAACAAAATGGCACATGCCAAGTATTTCTTTCTCCATATTCAAACTGGATGAATGCGCTTTAAATAACGAAAACGAAACTAACTACCGAGCTGAAATAGTAGTTCTATGTCGGTTTGACCTCAGGATCACACTCACAGCATGGCATTTCAAATGTCAACTCTCTCTTCGCGTATCAGAGCCATTGGTCCACTTTCCCGCTGTCGTAGTGGTGACTTTCATACCAGTGATATCGTTGTGTGCTCCAAATTTAGAAACATTTTCGGTCTTGCAAATCGTCAGGTGTATTCGCTGGTGCGAAGTGGGCAGAGTTCGGCGAACTCCAGCCCTGCAAAGTGCAAGGCCATTCTGAAACCAGGGGGTATTCACATTGCAAACCGTGTGGAGAAGTTTTCAACAACTACATCTGCCGCGAAGTCGTTTGAGTCGTTTCAGGGGCATAACAAGGCCTCGACCTCCGGGGGAAAGTACGGTTCGTTGTACCGGATCGCCCTCGCCGCGCTTGGGGTGACGACCGCGGTGGTGTCCCTGCACGCAAGTGCCCATCTCGCCATGGCGGCGGGGTCGGAGCGGCTAAACCTCGACTCAGCCAAAGGCGACTGGAACGAGGTGAAGGGTAAGTCTGCAGACAGACACAGTCAGGGAGTGTGGCTAGGAATCTATAGCTGCTCATGTTGAGAATGTGGTTGTTCAACAGGACCTGTTGCATGTGAAAAGTAAAGTGGTCAAAGCTGTGAGGCCTAAATTGCAATAGAAAACAAGTAGGTGCCTACTCAAATGTTGAAGCTGCTTTGCAGTGGCTCATCGTGGCCTTATGTGGTACTAGGCTACCAAGCCATTAGTGCATTACAGCTGTTCATTTGTCATTTCCCTTTTCACTGTGTTGTCGCTACATTGATTAGTGGAACGATCATAATCATCAACTCTTTGTCCCTTTCCTCTTCCTTAGATGCCTTGCTCCATATGAGTCAGGAGGAGAGAAGGAAGCACTACAGGACTACCTACCTGTCCCTGGACGAGGTGCCTGTGTGGACCGCTAAGTCACTAGTGGACACAGGAGGTTGGTGGCACCTTAATTGGGGAGGACGTGCTCGTGGTAATGGCGCGGAATCAATGGAATGGTATCAAATACATCAAATGCATGGTTTCCATGTGTTTGATGCCATTCCATTCGCGCCGTTTCAGCCATTACTATGAGCCATCCTCCCCTCAGCAGCCTCCACTGCTAGTGGACTAAACCACACTCCATGGCAAAGGACGTTTCTGATTAACTTAAGCAACGGCGTGGAGCTGAGACCAGGCTTTGTGGAATCTAACTCTGACTACATCGACTCACCCAAGGTTAAGAGTTAAAAAGAAATAAATTATGAAACGCCCATCTTTTTTTTGTACCTATGTTTGTCCTTGTTTGCTGAAAAACTTTTTCAATAAATGTTAATCAAATACCACCATCGACTGTTTCCTTGTTGAGAGTCAATGGGCTCATGCGCATTTGCACTGAGTTGCCATCTTAGAGCAACAGCAATGAGCAAACAGTAGGTGGTTGTATTTGATTAACGTTTATTGAAGAAGTCTGGATTTCAGCAAACAAAGAAAGGCATGCAGCTTACAGAGGATAAACATAGGTACAAGGTCGGCGTTTCATAATTAAATGTTTTTAAATGATTGACCTTGGGAGAATCGATGTAGTCGGAGCTAGATTTCACAAAGCCTGGTCTCTGCTCGACGCCGTTGGTGAAGTTCACCATAAACTTCCTTCGCCGTGGAGTTCAGGCCGCTAGTAAGTGACCTGGTCACCTAGCAATCTATCTGCTGTTGTGTGCTGCACATCAAGTAAATGATCTTCCCTCTGCCAGCTATAGCCATGCCTTACTGCCAAGGTGTCTTATCTTGCTCCTTCCTCACACTAAACCAGTGGAGGCTGGAGGGAGGCGCTATAGAAAGGATGGGCTCATTGGAATGGAGCAATGGAACGGAGTCAAACATGTGGTTTCTATATGTTTTATGTGTTTGATACCGTTCCATTTATTTCATTCCAGCCGGTACAATGAGCCCATCCTCCTATAGCTCCTCCCATCAGCCTCCACTGCTCTAAACCCTTGTTGTTTCTCAGCTCCCGTTCTGGGGACCCACAACACAGGTTTACATGTGTTTGGTCCAGCCCAGCAGTAGTTAATGTAAATTAGTTAATGCTAGTTTAGTAGTGTTATCGGGCCCCAGGACGACAGCGTCGCTTAGTGTCCACTATAGATATTCTGAAAAGACAACATATATAAACAGTAAAACCATGTTAATATTACAGTGTTATTATAACAGTGTTGAAAGGAGCAGGTGTTCATCTCTGTCTCCAAGGTGATTCAGTCAAGGGGACCAACTTCAAGAGGAACGAAGCTCTGGACAAGAAGATCTCCCTGTTCAGCGGTGACATCACCAAACTGGAGATTGATGGGATCGTCAATGCAGGTGATCATATAGCAACCTAGCTAATATTAACATAATATTATAGTAATAACACAACTTAAAGATGGAATCCGCAGTAGGGGGAAACGGCACCACCGCCCGGCCCGCCCCACCACCGCTGTTATTGTTTTTGTTGCCGAGGGGCGTGGCGCAGCATGGTACCATTTTTTTGCTGCAGTACATATTGTGCTCTTCTATCGGACGTGCAATGATGTCAGAGGGGAAAAAACAGTGTTCGTTGTTTGCTGTAAATTATTTGTTGTTGTAATATCGCAAACGGACATGGCTGTTTCACCATTAAGGATTCCAGCTTTAACTTTAGTAATAACATTACTTAGAAATAACATAATCACATATAGTAATAACATTACTTAGTCATAACATTATCTAGTAATAACATAGTAATAGCATAGCATGACTAGTAATAACATTACTTAGTAATAACCTAACATGACTAGTAATAATATTACTCAGTAATAACATAGCATTACTAGTAATAACATAACATTACTTAGTAAAAACATTATTTAGTAAAAACATAGCATTACTTAGTAATAACGTTACTAGTAATAACATAGCATTACTTAGTAATAACAACATTACTAGTAATAACATAGTATTACATAGCATTACTAGTAATAAGTAAGACAGCACTACTTAAAGTAATAACATTTTAGGGAACATTACCTATAGTAATAATAAGTGACATTTCTTATAGTATAACATTAATTGTATATCTGTCCTGCGGCCTCTGTGCTCTATATGGGACAAATCACTGTGAAATGAGAAGTATTATCGTACTGATAGCCTGTCTTGGTTAGAGTCAGAACTCTATGTCCTGTGGGTGATACATTATCCTGATCCCATCATAGATTTTTGAGTGAACTGTATCTTATTTCACGCTCCACGTCACAGTTGACCTGATTACACACCCACATTTATAATCCCTCCATTTTGGTAAATAATGCTCTGGGAGTTTGTTGAAAACCGTATCTTCTCTTTGTGTGTGTGTGCGTGTGTTTGTGTGTGTGTGTGACTCTACTGTACTGCACTCAGAGTGCCACCCAGAGAGCTTATAAAGAGCTAATGCTTATGCTCTACTTCTGTTGTTGAACTTTGACCTTTACCCACCCTGACCCTGTGGTCTTCTCAGTTTCCAGTGAAATATTGCCCTATTGGCTGTCTGCAGGGCCTCTCTTAGGGCCTTAAAAAAAAAAAAAAGTATTAAGTAATCAAAATCGTATTTATGTATTTATTATGTGTGCTTTAGAAAGAGGTTAATATCATACAATACACTGGTTTCTCAGTGCCATTTAGGTGTAGTGTAACTTTCCACCTCTAGATGGCAGTAAAGTCAAGTGTATCATACTATATCAGCCTGAAGTTTCTTTGTGGTCCTAGCTAGACTTTAATCATCAGTACTGAGTTTGGCATTGAATTGGCATTACAGTGGGTGGTGTCCAGTCCAACATCAAATAGCTACTTGATGATCAGGTTTTGCATAGAAAATGATGTTTCTTCATTGGTCATTTAGTGTCAATTGTCATAAAACAACATGGCTGCCGATGTGGTACTGTGTGAACAACTAATCTCTCATTAACGTCATGTTGGCTCCAACATCAGAGCCGGCAGCCTGTATGTTTTACAAGGCTTTTTATAGAGTCCCACTCTCACTATGCAAAGTGCCACTGAAAACAAGAGAAACAGAGCTGTTAACAACCCCTGGAGGAGAGGGGACAGCAGAGCAAGGTGAGGGAACCAGATGTGCTGACTGACAATGCATCTGAAACCAAATGGCACCCTATTCCCTATATAGTGCAGTACATTTGGCCAGACGCACAGCAAAATGAATGAATAGGGTGCAATGTTGGACAAAGCTAGAGTGAGATAGGAGTAACAGAGACAGGGATCATGTGGACCTCTCATGAGAATCTCTTTCACTATGGCAACCAGAGTGGTGACATGGAGTTTGGTGTTGGGGCCTTCCCTTCTACAATAATGATAGAGGAAGGACTACACACACACACTGCCACACACTGCCACACACTCGCATCACTTCACTCACTGTGCTGCTGATCGATCAGTAGGGAGGGCGAGCCGATAGGGGAGGACTGTTTACGTCGTTTGTGCCCCCTCCCCACTCACCCCTTCACCATTTTACTGCTGCTGGCTCCTGCATTCTCCTATAAAACACTGCAAACATAAAAACCCACAAGCACTTAAGAGCTGTCTTAGAGAGGTGGAGGAGGGCGGGTTGGAAGGTAAAACATCCTTTTCTTTACACCCCTTAATCACTCCATCCGGCCTCAGCGGAGAGAGAAAGCGATTGAGAGGAGGATATATTGTCTCTGATGGGCTATTTGATTAAGATGGATTACGCAATAATAATAATATAATAATATGCCATTTAGCAGACGCTTTTATCCAAAGCGACTTACAGTCATGCGTGCATACATTTTTTATATATTTTTTTGTGTATGGGTGGTCCCGGGGATCGAACCCACTACCTTAGCGTTACAAGCGCCGTGCTCTACCAGCTGAGCTACAGAGGACCATGTGAATTGTCATTGGAGTGATGAGGTGAATGTGTGTGGGTGCGTGACTCTACGCTCTTGTAAAGTTCCTCAAGTCAACAAGTTTTTAGTTCTGTTATATCAGCATTAGATTGCGTTAATTTTATTTAAATTAAACCCACAGCTCAATTTAGACTTGTTTCAACCACTGTAATAGCAGAGTAATGGCTTAGCTACAGTGAGGGAAAAAAGGATTTGGTCCCCTGCTGATTTTGTACATTTGCCCACTGACAAAGACATGATCAGTCTATAATTTTAATGGTAGGTTTATTTGAACAGTGAGAGACAGAATAACAACAACAAAATCCAGAAAAACGCATGTAAAAAATGTTATAAATTGATTTGCATTTTAATGAGGGAAATACGTTTTTGACCCACCCTCACAATCAGAAAAATGTCTGGCTCCCAGGTGTCTTTTATACAGGTAATGTGCTGAGATTAGGAGCACACTCTTAAAGGGAGTGCTCCTAATCTCAGCTTGTTACCTGTATAAAAGACACCTGTCCACAGAAGCAATCAATCAATCAGATTCCAAACTCTCCACCATGGCCAAGACCAAAGAGCTCTCCAAGGATGTCAGGGACAAGATTATAGACCTACACAAGGCTGGAATGGGCTACAAGACCATCGCCAAGCAGCTTGGTGAGAAGGTGCCAACAGTTGGTGCGATTATTCACAAATGGAAGAAACACAAAATAACTGTCAATCTCCCTCGTCCTGGGGCTCCATGCAAGATCTCACCTCGTGGAGTTGCAATGATCATGTGAACGGTGAGGAATCAACCCAGAACTACACGGGAGAATCTTGTCAATGATCTCAAGGCAGCTGGGACCATAGTCACCAAGAAAACAATTGGTAACACACTACGCCGTGAAGGACTGAAATCCTGCAGCGCCAGCAATGTCCCCCTGCTCAAGAAAGCACATATACAGGCCCGTCTGAAGTTTGCCAATGAACATCTGAATAATTCAGAGGAGAACTGGGTGAAAGTGTTGTGGTCAGATGAGACCAAAATCGAGCTCTTTGCCCTCAACTCGCTGTGTTTGGAGGAGGAGGAATGCTGCCTATGACCCCAAGAACACCATCCCCACCGTCAAGGAGGTGGAAACATTATGCTTTGGGGGTGTTTTTCTGCTAAGGGGACAGGACAACTTCACCGCGTCAAAGGGACGATGGACGGGGACGATGGATTTGTACTGTCAAATCTTGGGTGAGAACCTCCTTCCCTCAGCCAGGGCATTGAAAATGGGTCGTGGATGGGTATTCCAGCATGACAATGACCCAAAACACACGGCCAAGGCAACAAAGGAGTGACTCAAGAAGAGGCACATTAAGGTCCTGGAGTGGCCTAGCCAGTCTCCAGACCTTAATCCCATAGAACATCTGTGGAGGGAGCTGAAGGTTCGAGTTGCCAAACGTCAGCCTCGAAACCTTAATGACTTGGAGAAGATCTGCAAAGAGGAGTGGGACAAAATCCCTCCTGAGATGTGTGCAAACCTGGTGGCCAACTACAAGAAACGTCTGACCTCTGTGATTGCCACCAAGTACTAAGTCATGTTTTGCAGAGGGGTCAAATACTTATTTCCCTCATTTAAAATGCAAATCAATTTATAACATTTTTGACATGCATTTTTATGGATTTCTTTTGTTGTTATTCTGTCTCTCACTGTTCAAGTAAACCTACCATTAAAATTATAGACTGATCATGTCTTTGTCAGTGGGCAAATGTACAACATCAGCAGGGGATCAAATACTTTTTTCACTCACTGTACCTGCTGTCAGACAGTGTAAGGTATGGGCAGGGGCTAAATGTTTTTGCTGATTAGATTCCCAGGTCTCCAGCCTCTTAGGGGGTGTTAGAGATGAGGCCCCTGGTTGCTGTGGGGAACCCTCACTGTCACCGTTGTAGCAGTAGCTCAGATACAAGATAAGCGGCAATCCCGTCAGTCCAGGTCCAGGCCGTACAGACAGACCGGAGCAGAGCAGCTGTGTTTCAACCTCAACGCCTAAACCCTCTAGTCTAGAGAAAACACAGCAGCACTGACAGGTGGCTGGCCCCAATAGCCGCAGGGAGTTTGAGTGATTTCCACCGCTTCACTCTCAGTGACTAAAACAGGCCCCACACTACCTCCCTACTTATCTACACTGTACTTAGGGCTCCTGATTTAGTCACTGGCTGCTGGCTGGCCTATATCTCTGGCTGTAGGTGTAACAGACTGCTATCTCTACTGGCTGCTGGCTGGCCAAAACAGTGCCTTTGACTTTTTCCACATTTTGTTACTTTACAGCCTTATTCTAAAATTGATTAAATTGTTTTTTTCCCCTCATCAATCTACCCCATAATGACAAAGCAAAAACAAGGTTTTTAGATTTTTTTGGTGCTAATTTCTTTAAAATAAAAATCTTAAATATCACATTTACATAAGAAT